AACTAATCAAACGTAGTACATTATGTGAAAACAGTACTTGGTACTAGCTGTCTGGTTAAGCCATTGTCTTCCTCCATCCTCTGGGCAGCCCAGGCTAGAAATGCATACAGCTTTTTAAAAAATGAAACATCCTTTGAATGTCTCTATGATTTGCAGTCCAAAATTGCAAGAGAGAGGTGGAAAGAATTAATCAGAGAGTGAAACTTCAAATTACAAAGTACCCCTAAAATCTGGACTGCAAATCCTAAGAATCTCTTCTCCCAAATTTTTAAACAGATGTGGAACAAATATTTCATGATTTCTCTATCTGCTAAATTACAATTAAATAGAAATCATGAAAATATTTGACTGTTCCTCATCTGGATTAGATTAAATTAAATTATCTTTATCTTTCCTCTGTCTTTATCTAACTTTATTCTTGGAAATTAACCTACCAAAGTCAAGTGTCACTCCTGCCCAGATAATGCTATGAGCCTCTGGGATAGAAAAATGAAAAAGTACAAATACCAGTTTCTTTTATTTTTTTAAGTTCTCACTCCATACCTGAATGTTACATATAAAAAGGAGTATTTTTTTAAATATATATATTTAATATTTAAGTTTTTAAAAACTTTGCATTGTGGAAATTTATATATAATAAAAGGTGACATTAGAGAAATTTGGGTTTTAAAAAGATTTGGGGTAAATGTCTAGGCAATTAATGTTAATTGCCTAGATGTGCCTTCTACATTAGGAAAGGTTCTGAATGAAACCACATATTTGTCGATTCCTCTTTGAAAAGCACCATTATTAAACCAAATCAATCTGAATTATTGCCCATTTTATGGGAGCAATGAAATGAACTTATTTATTTATTTATTTATGAGACACTTATATACCGCTTTAAGTGCAAGCACTCTCTAAGCGGTGTACACCAGTAAGCAATGTATATATATATTTACATTGCCCCCAACAATCTGGGTCCTCATTTTACCTACCCCAGAAGGATGGAAGGCTGAGTCAACCTTGAGTCGGTGAGATTTGAACCGCTGACCTGCTGAACACATTCAGCTAAAGTGGCCTGCAGTACTGCACTCTAACTGCTGCGCCACCTCGGCTTCACTTATATTGATCCACACAAGCCTCATCCTTGGAATCATTCCTGCCAATGAATTGTTACAGTGCTAAGGAGGAAGCAGGTCTTTCTTCTTTCCTCTTAACAGAATTGTAAGAGGTTTTACTCAAAGGGTAAACAAAGAGGGGCTTTAAAGCAGTATTTTTCAAGTTCAGCAGCTTTAGAATTATAAATTTCAAATCCCAGAATTCCCCAGCCAGCTTTAGGGAACAGGAGTGAGGCTGAAGTAGGGAGGGTGCTGAAGTTACTCACTTATACCCAGCTCCTAGATTGCAGATAGAAGGTGTATCTACACATCTTTCTTGTTTAACATCAAGATGTCCACAAGTTATAATGGGTCATTCCTCCCAATGATTGGTGAAGAAACCAGGAAACTGTGAGTTCTAGACCTCTCTCAGGCATGAAAGCCAGCTGGGTGATTTTGGGCCAATCACCCTCTCTCAGCCCATGATGTCAGATTCAGGAGACAAGCTGGTCAGTCAATTCCTGTCGCAACCAATGAATCAATATTTGGTTGATCCAAAAAAAGTATATCTTGCACTTGGAAGGAAACCCTAGGAGATAAAACCCAGAGGCACAATAACACTAAAGTCCCTCCAGTTTGGTTTGTCTGTTTTATTATATACCAAACCAGCTCTTCTAATCTCTCAGACAGATTTTTGCTTTGGGGCAATGAGTCTTCTGTTTCCCCAAGACTTTTGCCTGTTGATCTGCAATAATGATGGGGTTATTGGACTATCAAGCTCCTCAATAGCTCTATCTGCAGAAGGGTGCATTCAATTATAAGAATTAAGCCCAGTTGGATCCATTTATTATATACAAAGATAATAATTATTGCTTGAACTGCTACCTTGCCTCAGGAAAGTGCTGGGGTAGTTGATTTTCCAGAGGTAGGTGAATCTTGGTGGAAAGAAAAAGTAAAACAGAAAATCTACTAGTTTCAATCTGGAAACTACCTCACCTTAAATTGTATGATACTGATTAATAGGAGCATCAGAGGAAGGGGACAAAAAAAAATCAAAATGGTGCCTGTGGCCATCCTGGTGCAGCATATGTAAAAGGAGCAGCTATGGCCATATATTGCCTTTTAAAAAAAAAACTTCCCATGAAATACCTCTGGTCTCCTTGCAGAGGCATAGTAAAGATGGTTTATGAGGTCAGCACAATTTCTATTACTGCATTTTCCTCCAACTTCCAAGATGAAAGAAAAACACATTAATATGGCTGTAAGGAAGAGCCCTGAAGAATACAATTTACCTGGACAATTTACCAGCCTTTTCCTTTGAATAACATGCATTGCATCTCTTTAAATTGCCCTGTTATGGAAAATTATAAATTAAAATTTCCTTAGGATTCTTTCCTTAGGGATGTTTTCCTGTTCACCATCCCACCCTGGAATTCTCAGCCAGTTCTTCATCCAAGTCTGATCTAACTTAGCCTCTGAGATGAGATGATTGAAGGACAACCATATCTTCTGGCAAGGTGTGACCTCCTTCTTGCTGGGAGTCACTTCTGGACAAAACCTACATTCCACCACTCTGCTTCCATCCACGTTAGATGCATCTCCAGTCATTCTTAACTATGTTGGCTGGGGATAATAACAGCTGGAGTCCAGCAGCACCTAAAAGCTACCAAGTTCTCTAATCTTGCCCTGATAGAACTAAACCTTGTCAAATGACCTAGTAAAACAGGAAGGTGAACAGAAAGTTTCTCTCTTCAAATACTGAGTTCTCAGCTTTAGCTCTCTCTCCCCCACCCCTCCTCAAAAGTTTTCTTTGGGGAAATATTCCTAAGTGTTGGATGCTTAGACAGCAGAAAAAAACAGCTGCTTCCTTCAGCAAGCAGTCCATAGGATCAGCAAGGAACTATATTCTGTCCTGTTTTTGAAGGGCAAAGGGGGATATAGATGTTCCAGGGGAGCATCAGCACCAGACTAACTTTTGACCTAACCATCAACACAGGGATTAATGTGGCACAGTGCCCAATACTGAATTATTTCTGGCTTGCTTTTCACATTTTTAACCATTAGCATTATGAGTATTTACTGCACTACTTACTTCCACTGGATATGTAAAGGACAAATAAAAATAGAATGTTGAATAGACCTGTTACAAGGTGATTTCTTGCCTAATTAAGAAAGAATGTCAACACAACAGCCAGAGAGCTGTTTTATTCATTATTTGAATGATGTGGGAAATAGGCAATGTTAGAATTCTGGATTATGCCACTTAAGAATGCAGATTGGTGGTGAAGGTTAGTATTGTTTTTTGAATGTAGCCATGTGTATATAGTATATTAGATACAGAGAGAGTTATGATAAAGTTCTTATGTATATACAATTAAACTTTTAAATTTGTTTTTCACAACTTGACAGACAGGAGATAAAGTATAGGCAAAGACAATAAAGAATCACTTTCAGAGCAAAATGGTTGGCATATAAATTTAGTAAATAAATAAACAGGCTGTTGTTTCCTAGCTAAATCTGAGAATGGTCTCCCAAATTATAGCGATCTTTGGACATATGTCATATGGATACCACATATAAACAAGCAACAGAACTTGAATTATATAGCTGCCATCTTGACTTTTTTGACCACCCTGGATGCTTCTCCTGAATCCTCTCCAATTAGCAAAGGGAATGCTAAATTAAACAAACCAATGTTTCACTTGATGTTAGATTCAGATGCTTTTTTAGTGCTGAAACAAATTGCTTTGGGAGGCAATCAGTGTGCAAAACAGAATATAAGAAATAGTAAAATGGCAGCAGCAACAAGTTTTAAATTTTCTTTTTTTTAATGGGTAGCAAAGAATGATTACTTAGTGGCAGAACAGAAATTCTGCTTCAGGCAGGCCTCGCGGTGTTGGGAAAGCTGCAGATCCTCAGCTTCCCACAAAAATGACTTAGAACAGTATTTCTCAACCTTGGCAAACTTTAAGATGTGTGGACTTCAACTCCCAGAAGTCCCCAGCCAGCATGTCCGGCCAGTCTCTAGAGATGAGAGGGTATTTAAAGCAGGATCAACAATAACATCCCAAAGGTGCTGTTTCAAAAGGCAGCTGGTCTTTGTTTTTCCTTGAAGATGTTTCGCTTCTCATCCAAGAAGCTTCTTCAGTTCTTTTGAAAAACACCTTTGGGACAATCAAATCTCAGTCGAGAATCTCCATGGACATCAAGAGTAAAGGTTTATAATGAAATTCCTGCCCCATGGTCCTCACCTTGCCAAGTTGAGTGGCAACTGGCCAGGTTTTGAAAGAATGCTTGAAGTGAAAGGGAGCAGAAACCTTAACACAGCTGGAAGTCTTGCTAAACAACAACTCCTTCTTGGGAAGAATTGACTCCTGTTCCAGATGTGAGTAGAAATCCCAGATTTTAAATCTAGCTGCTCCTATGGAAACCAAAGAATCAACCCGGAGGAGGATACATATGGCGATAGTCAGGAGATGGCTGCCATGTGCAACTCCAGACCTTTAAATGATTTTTCATAGCGTATTTAGAACTTTTGCCCTCAATTGCGTTTTCAGATCCTTCCACACCATCAAAATATAATAATGCTCATTGGTTCCTTAACCTACAAGTGGATGACTTTGATCTGTCTTCTGGTTAATCAAGACCATTAATAGCAATAGCATTAGCAATAGCACTTAGACTTATATACTGCCCCATAATGCTTTACAGCACTCTCTGGATAGTTACAACATCAGCATTTTGCCCTCAATAATCTGGGTCATCATTCTACCAACCTCACAAGGATGGAAGGATGGAAGGCTGAGTCAATTAATTAAACAGATGGGATTCATGAATTGGGCACCCAGTCACAGGAGAAACAAAAGAGAGCTCTAGGGAGAATTGAATGGCTCCCTTATCTGATCCTAAACACTTACTTACCCAATGATGTAGGTAAGGACTACCAGCTGGATCAGCCGGAAGGTTAAGCCCACCTTCTTGTTGTGCACCAAAACCATCCTTGGGGTGTCATATTCAAATAGAAATGAGGATATTTTTTCTGTGAATTTATGGCCCATAAGGAATAGTTGATGTGGTTTCTTTGATGGCTGCAGACAAAAGTCTTCTGATAGTTGATTCTCCCAAAGTTTGTCTTTCTCACGTTCTGCTAATCTTTGACTTCTCAGCTGGCTCTGTTGTCTTACCCTGTGTAAGCAACAGCAAAAAGTCCTTTCTCTTTCTGGGTGTAGTAGTTTACTTTACATCTCCTTAGATGGTCTGGGGGTGGGACGGGGTGTGTTTACCAAGTGGAGGCAGCCACAAAACACCACCCAAGAACAGCTGAACAGGAAAGATTCATTTTTGCATCCTGCTCTGGACAATTATAGAATGGAGTGATGACTCCAAAGGTTAGAATGGTTTTTATAATTGACAACCTCTGTGTGTTTCACAAATTAAAATAGGAAAAGCTTCTATTGTCCCAAGTCTATTACACCTCAGGGCTTAACACTTTACTTTGCTCCGAAGAAGTTTGGGGTTTGGGGTTAAAAGCAATTTAAATCTCTAAACTGCCAGAAAAACATGGCCTAAAATCAAGCTTCCAGATCCACAAAGCTTTAGATAACCATTGGATGGCAAGCAAAGCCTACCTTACAAGGTGGTTGTGAGGATTAAATGTAAAGAGGGGAGATATCAGGAATGTTATCTCAAGATCTTTGCAGGAAAGGCCAAGTAAAAATTAAAAATTAAATATGAAATATTTGTTTTATTATGCAAAATCTAAATGGAACAAGATCTGGACTCTGCCTTCACAGGACAAACTGTAGTTTAACAGTAAAATACTTTCTATGTGTTTTTGATTTCTTTGCCATATATGATATGTCATATGGTAAATTGTCTATGTAGAATTTAATTCAAAGTAGAATTTAACTCGATGTAGAATTTTATTGTCTCCATCAGATTTATTTCCCAGCAAGTATAGATAGGATTTAATGACAACCAATGCAGATAAAATGGGCCAGAGGAAGTACATAACTTCCTGCATTTCTTATTTAAAGCAACCATTTATTCAAACACATGAGTACTAGAGTCTTGCTTTTAAAGTAAACTGAGCAATAGAGCACATTTTTTCCTGAAAGTTTCTAGTTTTAGACCATGGCGCTGCCAGATTGAAAAAAAGAAGAATATTAGTTGACAGGTGGTGGACAGAGTCTCTGTTGATACAGGGCAGGTCCTTTGGATTCCTTTGTTATCAACAAGGTCTTGCAGTGCATGTTTGTGGGAAAAGAATTAACTGAAAGATCACATTGTAGAATCTTCATACACACACACACACAAACCCAAACACGCAGACCAAATTTTAAATTTTGGCAAATTTAAGACACGTATACTTCAATTCCCAGAACTCTCTAGCCAGCATGGCTTACTGGAGAATTCTGGGAATGGGTCCACCTGTCTCAAAATTTCCAAGGTTGAGAAACAACCTTGGTAGAGAATTGAATTTTCATTCATACTGGTAGTAGCACCAAAACATCTGCAGACACACAAAACAGAAATAGCTTGAAAAAGAAGCAATATATGTAACTGTTAACTGCAGGCAAGAAAGTGAATTGTTTTCATTTGTTTATAGTTAATTTTGGTCAATAGCCATATTTTCTGGGGAGACAGAATGTGTGTGTGTATGTGTGTGTGTGTGTGTGTGTGTGTGTGTGAGAGAGAGAGAGAGAGAGAGAGAGAGAGAGAGAGAGAGAGAGAGAGAGAGAGAGGGAGGGAGGGAGGGAGGGAGGGAGGGAGAACGTGGGATCAGGATCCAAAGCTCCACTTACTTGTCCATCTTTTCTCTTCTCTCTGAGTCTGGATGGGTTTTGTAATACCCTTTTCTTGGGCAAGATATTTAAAGAGAAACTTGAAGGCAGGCAAGTCCCATCATTCTTAAATGAGTTTTAGGATCTGACCCTCACTGGACGCGATTTCAGGCCTGATGTTACTTTTATTTTTAAATTTTAATTATTTTAATTTTAATTATTTTTAATTTAATTTTATTATGTTATTTTATTAGTCTTACTTATTTTATTTTATCTTTCCATACCTATGCTTGTCCAATATGTTTCTAGAGCTTCAAGGTATAACATTTGCTTACTTCTTAAATATAGAATTAAATACTCCATTTTAAAAAATATGAAAAGTAGATTAAAATATATAAACTTTTGGCCATGTCTACTAGTGCAGTATTATCCGAATCTTGTCAATACCAATATGGTTTTTTTTTGTTAAGTATAAAAAGCTGATCTTATGCAAAAAATGTTCTTATTTTATTTATTTGTATCCCCTTTTATTATTTTTATAAATAACCCATGGTGGCAAACATATCTAACACAACCTCCTCCTCCTTATTTTCCCCCTTAAGAACAACAACTGTGAGATAAGTTGGACTGAGAGAGCGTGACTAGGCCAAAGTCACCAAAATGCCTTTCATGCGTAAGGTAGGACTAGAACTCAGGGTGCAGGCATTCTTGTAATGGCGACATTCTTCTTCTCAGTGTTTGCAGAGCACCTGGCTTTTATTTAGTGCAACAATGCCTTTTTTGGCAGAGCGTTTCCTCTCCCTCCAATATCCATGAATGCAGAAGATTAAATCAATAAATTTTGCCTAAAAGTCATATAGTCAATGAACTCTTGAGTTATTCAAACAAACCAATGATTTTAAAAAGAAATCTGTGTGGCAAGAAATAAGCGAGCAGGGTTTTTAGAAGTTAGCATAATCTACAACAGTACCTAGTGGGAACACCCCCCTCCTGTTTTTAAACATTTTGTGGTGACAAGAAGTAACCACTTCTGTGTTTTAGCCTTTTTCTGTTACATGAGAGGAACAATTATGCCAAACAGGCTTTTAGAATTATTTTTAAAAAGATTATCCCTTACATTGAGCATTGTAACCCCTGGGTGTTATAATGTTTTCCTCTGCAGACTCTACAAACCTTTTCTACAATATTAAGAAATCTCAGCAGCAAACAAGAAAGTGAACTAAAGCAAGAGGTTGGTTGCAAATGAAAATGAAATTAAGGCTGGGGAAGAGAAGAAGAATAGAAGATGGAAATCACATAATTTATAGTGAGAACCCTCACATATCTATTCAGAAAGAAGTCCCATCAATTTCAACAAGATTTAATTTCACTTCAGTGGTTACAGAATTGCAACTTGAATTAGTTAATCTATTTTACTAACAGCTCTTTGTCTGGAAAAATGTCTTCTAATTTGTGGTGGAACCATGTGTATATTCCCACTGAGATGTTTGCAGGTGTTCTTTTTTCACATTTTATAAGTCTATAATTGAGCATCACCTTGTTGTCTTTTGGGCTCAGAGAAATTTCAGGATGGTGGGGACAAAGGCATGATGGAAAAAGCCCCACCTTCTTTTTATGTGTACATGCACATGAAAAAGGTGGGATTTGAGCATAGCTTTTTTTTCTTGACTTGTCCCTCCGACAGGTGTTCTTGTAAGGTGATTGCCTGTTTGGGGTTAATCATGTCTTTCCTTTGACTTGACAGATGGCAGTCACTTGGTAACTTGGTATAGTTTTGGAACTGCCCTCATGAGCAATCCTATGTACAGGCCATTGTGGTAGTCCCAAGTGAAAATTAGAAAAGTGTAGATATTTGTGAGTAGGCCAACAACTCCATAGCAGATGCTGTTGGGGTAGGCATGAATGTTTGAGTTAACCTACTCCAACTCATATACAGTACAGTATTTTATGCTGAGGCTATAGGGTTAATCAGTGAAGAAACTATGATGTGTTTCCCAATAAGAATAAGCTGGATAAGATCATGGATTCAGTTACATAAGAGACTGCATTTTTACCATAAGCCTTGCAGTTAAATTTAGATGCCCTGTTTTTCTAATTGTCACCACTTTGGCATGGTGGTCTACTCAATCTTCCTTAGAAGGCTGCATTTTGTACAATTCATGTTTTCACTTGGCTAGAGTTTCCTTTAGAAAGCCTGCCTTGATCCCTAGATTATAAATGATGGTTATCAGGTTCTGCAGAGTCTATATTTGGTAGGCGATCTGATAGTTATTAGACATTCTTTCAAGTTTAGGGGCCTGACCAGTGTCACGAGAGACTGATTGATCTCTTGAATCTCTCCTTCTTCATCACTTTTCCTTCATGCCTCATCCAAATCCAATCATTTGGAAATGTATTTCCAATGTCTGCTCTTTCCCATACTATCCCACATCTCCTGAATGTATTCTATGGGGTAGGAGGCCCAGAGTGGGGGTTGGAATCTAAGATCTAAATGGATTTGTTCAGCTCCTTTACGGATTTAGATGGATATGCTTAAATGTAGAACTGTTGCTATGCAAAGAGCCAAATAAGCAACAAAGCTCTGGTTCGTCAATTGTCCTTAATCAATGTGCTGTTCTTGGGCTTAAAGGCATTAATAAAGACATTGTCTTTGCTAATCCTATCTTTTGTTTACGGTTTTCTGTGAGTAGATGTTTTCAATTAACATAAGAGAATTTGAGGTAAAAGGATCCTTTTCCCTCCCTCTTGGGGGTTTCAGTGCTGTTTTGTTCATCGTGATTGCTCATTGTAGTATATTCTTTGACATCTAGTGTTTAAAAAGAAGACAAATCAATTAGGAGTCTTACTGGTTATATGTAATCAAATATTTGGAGTTTATGATAACTTTTTTTTAATGATGTAAGAGCAAAGTCCTAATGTGGACTGAGAGAACTTAACAACTATGGGGATATAAGGAGAAACTCATTTCCTAGGATAAACTGTTTTAACAAACCATCTTCTATTACTCAATTCAGCCCTTCTTTTGTATAAATTTACGTAGAATTAGAATTTGGAGGATTTCCCCCCTCCTTTATTGAATTATTAATAATAATCAAATATTTAATAAGGAGATTTATTATCTATTATTCTGTTATTCTTTCTATGATCATGTGTATACATCCCATTAAGCCCCAAAAAAGTCTGGAATGGTTTAGGATCGCCTGCCATGGGCAGGAAGTTGGACTAGAAGATCTTCAAGCTCCATTCCCACCCTGTCATTTTATGTTCTATGAATCCTAGTATGGTGAGTCCACTGGATGAGTCTATGGGAGTTCACTGGAGTTGGGTGGTCAATAAATTTAAATAAATACTATTAATATTTTAAAAAAATTGATTGTACGAGGAGATACATGTTAAGTCTGCTGGCAAAAAAATGAGGAC